CCTGCTTCACAGTCCTGCCCTCCCACTGTTTCGTATTCACCAAATGGTTCTTGCTCTCTGACCTTTTTTTCACGTAGCCATTTGTCATTCCCAGAATACTGATTTCACCCTCTCCTTTGATCATTTTTTAGCCACTTGTTTTTTTCTGAGACTTCTGAAAAACCCTACCTTTTATAAATTTTTCCATTGGTATGAGCTAATTAATGATGCAGATTCTTTATTTTATTCATAAACTCAATCTTCCTAAGATCACATGATATAAAGGTTTGGGCCCCTAAGTAGCCACTTGCAGATTGCACAACTGGAAGTTTTACATATATACTAGAGGCCCGGCGCCAACATTAATCTTACCGTACATTTCATCTTTCTTCTATTATCATTAATGGAGAATAGTATTTGTCACTTTAGTTATACCCACAATTCTTGTTAAAAAAGATTTTTTATTTTTTGCAAGCATGGTTGGACTGTGCTTGGGTGAAATACTCGGAAGTCCTGAAAGAGCATTTTCTTCTCTGCAGTTTATTTTTCTAAGGTGCAGTGGTGAGTAAGGTTCTCAGAACTGGCCGTACAAGAAGGCTAGGCCAGTCATTGTGTTTTCTTCCAAGCACTTGTGGCAGGTGACATATTTTTACTGAATTATGCTAGCTTTCTAGTAGTGCTTTTTCTTAAAGGAAACAAGACCCATTTATTCAAATGCATGTGATTCATTTATCAGAGTTTCCTTTGTCCTTGGTTTGATTAAATTCCAGGTGGTACTCTTTCTTGTCTCTTGAAATCTACTAAATAAATTCTGACTTTAAATTTCTCTTACAAAATCTTAGAGCTAAAAAGCTATATATTAAAAAAGCAGTCCAGTTTACCATTGCAACAACAAGTGATATTAGCATGGCTGTTTGTATAGTGAAAAAGTCAAATAAGTTGTGTAGGTAAGAGCTCAAGCCTCGATGTTATCCTACCAGACTCTGCTAATTACTGGCATTGTGAACTTGAATCACCTTATCTCTTTTTGCATCAGTGTCTGTGTCTGTAAGGAGGGTGATAATAACATACCTAGTTTTGCTGAACACACACACATACACTTTCTTACACTATTCTCAGAATATAGTTCCTCACACAGACACAAGCCCTCAATAAATGTTAACTTTTTCTTTTTGTCTTAAGCTTTCTTATATTATCATAAGATAGTTAGAGTATTGCAAGGTTAATGATGCTAAATCAGATATTTATTAAAGTAAGTATCTGTATTAAAACAGTAATTCTTGCTTTTTTTGTAAGAGTTAACTAATTATGTAGGTTATTTTAGTTTTTTTCCAATGTTGATATTTATTCCGTGATATGTATTGTCTTCATTATCCTATTCTTATCAAGCTTTCAAAATATTACACACTTGCCTATTTCATTCTCTGGCATTTCTAGTCTTCTTAATTTTTTCTTATCTAAATCTAATAGAAACTTTTCCTTCTATTTAAATTACATTTGGTCTTTTGACATTTTTCTTTGTTTAAAGCAGTTATAATTTCTTCTTTATCAGTTTATTTCATGTGATTTAAAATTTCTTCTGAGGTGTTTCTCTAAAATGTTGCTTAATATATAGCCCCCCCCCTTCTGCTTAAAAACTTGTTTTACTTTATGAATCACCTAGGAAAAAATACATTTAAGTGAAAAATTGCATTTTAAAAATTAAAATGTGTATTTGGACTCTGAAGGATTCTTTCTATCATAGAAATAACATTTAAGTATTACAGGTATCAAATAAGGTGTAATTGATAGTT